TTAAAATACAGGAATCGTGATATTGATGACCATGTCTTATTGGTTTAGATAGCATAATATCTTCCTTAGTGGATAACGCAAAAAGAATATATATAGATATACCTAATGATTGTCATCATGTTAGAGGTTAAGTTGCTATTTTCAGTTGTGTTTGTAACAGCGTGTAGCCTCCACTGAAGCTTGACGTAGTTGAGGAGCCGGACCCCGAACATGGACGAAATGTTGTGTAAATCTGGTTTGGATCTTCTTACTTTTCATACTCAGGAATGGTTCAGCTTTGCTTCGGTGACCTCATTGCAGGAGTCATTTTGAGGTACCTTTCAGCTGAGGTACGAGTTTAAACGTTTACGTTGTTGCACGTGTATTCCGGGAAAGAGAAACAGAGCAAATGAATGCCACACAATACTGTCACTTTGGAAAGCTCAACCCCTGCCCTTGCGATCGTTCAAAAAATTAAACGGCTATTGAAACGCATAGCATGCGAAGGCTCTTGTCTGCACTACGTCATGAGGCCATTGGGATGGTCCGTTGGGGAATGTCTCAACGACAAGTGGCTGCACATTTCCACTGGAACACCATTTCTGCACTGGTGAGACGCTAACAGAACACAAATGACGTCATCGATCGGCCACGTTCTGGACGTCCAACGTGTAACAACGCCAAGACAGGACATTTATAAGGGTGACCCTTCTTCGCCACAGGTTTCAGACTGCAGTGATGACTGCCCGAACCTTCCCAGGACTTCGCCAGTATCCACCCCAACACAGTTCGACAACGTTTACGTCATCACGGGATCAGACCACGACGTCCCGCCATACGCCCTATCCTGACAAAAAGTCATCGACAAGCTCGCCGAATGTGGTGCCGAAATCATGTCTGCAGACCCTTGTTTTGGTGGAGAAATATTGTTTTTACAGGTGAGTCCAGGTTTAACATTTCCCAGAGTGATGGACGTCAACGTGCCTATAGACGCGTGGGAGTCTTGGAGAGGAATCGCTTTGGTGGTGGTTCTGTGATGATTTGGGGTGGAATAAAAGCACGTCAAAGAACTCCTTTGGTGATTGTTCAGGTCAACTTAATTGGTGTGGGCTACAGGGATCAGATTCTTTGACCTGTGGCAATTCCTTTTCTGCAACGTCATGGCCCTGGGTTAACATTCCAACAGGACAATGCCCGCCCTCATACGGCAAGGGTTGCTATGGATTTCTTGCAACACCACAACGTTGACTTACTGCCTTGGCCTGCAAATTCACCGGATCTCTCCCCGATAGAGCATGTTTGGGACGAGATGGATCGACGTCTACGCCGTCTTCCTCATCCGCCAGATAACGTCCTTGATCTTGCAACAGAACTTGAGAGAATCTGGCGTGTTTGATAGGCTCTCTGCGTCTTCGATGCAGTGCTGTTCTCAATGCCGATGGTGGACATACCCGTTATTGAGCTTGTGACATGGTCGTTTGACCCCTGTCCCGCTTGTGGACTCGTGACGTCATTGTGATTGACTTTTCAATTGAAATTCTCCTGACTTGTTATGGTCTCATGATCCCTCCATTAAAGATTATATGTACCTTTGACATTGTTATCGGACTTATCAACTGGGATAATATTTTGACAATGCACAGTTTCTTTATGTGGCTAGTATATACTCAAGTCTAAAAGAGGTATCTGGATTTGTGATAGTTTCAATGCAGCACGTCTCGATGACAGATACATCATAAGCAAATGGTGAAGGTGATGAAGGTGAAAGCATACACTAAGAAACGTTGTGTTATTCACAATAAGGAAGTTGACATCTATAAATCTTGCTTTTCTTATGCATTCCACTTCTAAATGCCCTATAAAAGTTCCATTATGTACTGAATGTACTGAATCACTGAATATACTGAATCACACAATACGAAGGGTCGCATTCAATGGAACACTCACAAAGGAGTTGAGCTAAAGGAAGGATTTTACATTTTACATATGACTGTGGCTGATGTAAGTGATATCTTCTCTGTTATTATGTATCATCTTCTAAACATTTCATAAATAAGTGAAAAAAACAAAAATATATGAAAAAGGCTCTGTTGGAGCAGTCTAATTATTTTAGTTTTCAACACTTAGTTTGTGACATCTCAATCCACGACTGAAAAGGGATAAATACATTTCGTGGCACAAGGGAGGTTAAGTTACAGGCTTAGGGGCGTATTTTTGCAGGCGACCCGTGAAGTTCCGGGCTAGAATTAACCTTGTCGTAAGAGGCGACTAACGGAATCGGGTGGTCAGGCTCGCTGGCTTGGTTGACACATGTCATCGGTTTCCAATTGCGCAGATCGATGCTCATGCTGTTGATCACTGGAATGTCTGGTCCAGACTCGATTATTTACATACCGCCGCCATATGGCAGTAAGATTGCTGAGTGTGGCGTAAAAACTAAACTCAATAAAAAAACTAAGATCCTTACAAACTGGATCTGAGATGGAATTCGCAAAATACTAACTGAAACAATAACATACCGTCGCGATGACAAGTCCTATAGTCTTGACAATGACGTTTAAATCTGGATCTTCCTCCACGATTGTGCCATACGTCAAAGTTATCTGGAAATAGACAAATATGCTCTCTCAAATCTTAAATCAAACACCGTATTGAAGAATGTGTTAGTGATTTCTAAACGACATGTACCGTCATTACAAAGAAGGGAATGTCAAGATCTAGTATCGAATATATTTTGTTGAAAATTGAGCTCGTCTTAATTGCTGGTTATGGCGTGCTTCCTCATAACTCTGTGACTGACTTACTGACTGAGTTTGGTTTTACGCCGCTTTTAGCAATATTCCAGCAACATCACGGCGGGCATTACTCTGTGAGGGCAAGCATCTCATTTTGAGTTGGTCATGGTCTCATTAAGAGGGTATTAATCTACTGCCAAAGTTATGTGGCAGAACTGAAAATAATGTGTGCAGCAATATTATTGGTTGGAAACATGATAAAATGGTATATTCAAAATCGTAATATGTAATCGTTGACGGACCTTTAAAAGAAAGTAGTTCTTAGCATTCTTTTACTTTTGTGGGTTCAGTTGTTGCCAGTGCATATTCCATAATCTATGTCTCAGTAAATATATAGATATAACTCAAGACACACGTCATGAATGTCCAACATCTGCTCGATTACGGAAACAAGAGTCATCGGAAGATGAAAAATGCCCCGGCCCCCCAAAGTTGGAAGAGCAAGTTATCTGATTGTTACTCAAGGTCCAACTTGATTAAAGGGTTCCCCTCTAATCGTTCTGTTCGAAGATAAGACTAGTGATTGAGCTATCCAAAGAAGACCATGGGGTTGAAATTAGGAACGTTTTAAGTGTGAGTCACACCAACATAAGTAAAAGCCAAATTTGTTGCCATGGAAACGAAAAAAATATAAATTCTAATGATCCTAAAGTATCAATATTCATCAGTTGACATACTGGTCTTCATGAAAGAATAGCTGATAGCTTTAAAGATCTGGTCCGAACAGACACAGTACTATGAAAATCAAACAAGTTGTAATGGGAAACGAAATAAAACAGAAATTCTAAAACACCCTGAATAGCAACAGGCACCGCTTCATGGTATGTTTGATATTTCTGCAAAGTTTGGTAAATAGTTAAATCAGTTATATTTTCTGATTCGGAAACAAATTCCACACCCTTGTCAGGAGACACAAACATTTTAAAAGAACATTGAACATTGTAATTTAACACTGTGGAACAATATCTTACAAATTCGGCAATCGACGAGTACCACAGAGACATCATTTCAGCCGTTGCCGATATGGACGTTAAACCAAACCGTTGTTGGAAGCTAGAATAGAAGCATAACGATAACATGTATGTGTTAAGCTTGTAAATGTCAAATATTGTACAACTAAACTGGTGTCAGTTTCAAATATTATTTCTGGGTGATCAAATATAGACATGTAGGTGTATGTAGATAAATACAATGTTCTTACTTGCCTGAACATTCATTTGTATTTATTGTATGTCTTTTTATGACAAATAGATCTAAACGGAACAATATTCGTTAGTCCAATGTTTACATGTTTCCATATTCCTATTTTGTATTGAGTTTAATTTTTGCGCCACACTCAGCAATATTACAGCTATATGGCGGCAGTCTGTAAATAATTGAGCCTGGACCAGACAATTCAGTGATCAACACCATGAGCATCAATCTATGCAATTGGGATACGATGACATGTGTCAACCAAGTCAGCGAGCATGACCACCCGATCCCGTTAGTCGCCTCTCACGACAAGCATGTGTTCCTATGTCTTAGTTTGTACTTATATCATTAGAATAAAAATCATGTTACGATTAAAGTGTGAGGAGAGAGCTAGTTTCTTCCCATTATAGGGAAATAGACTCGTTAAAGATCAGCTATAGAGCAATGATACTAAAGGGAAGGTGTCACGAAATAATGAAAATGACGCAATATGGTGGATTATGTAACGCAAAATCAGATAATTTATTAAACATAATTGCACGATAAAGCACGTTTGCTTGGATTGTTTCGTAACGTGATTATAGTATCGATTGCTATATATTATCTCTTTTTACTTTTTTACATGCGTCCATATACCTTACTTTGTGTAATCTTTGTAGTCGGTATAAATCACGAGTTCCACGGTGTAGGTCTGTGTCATCAGAGGGAGCGGGGCACGCATTTCTGAAAGTAATGAGCCTGATTATGAGAGAGGCAGAGAGAGAGAGAGAGAGGGAGGGAGAGAGAGAGAGAGAGAGAGAGAGAGAGAGAGAGAGAGAGAGAGAGAGAGATGACTGAGTTAATGATTTCATCGGCATTCAAGATGGCAGGGAGCCAATATTTAGTTTCCGACTTCTTGTCTAACATATGCTATATTTGGGATTACACTTTCTATGTAAAGTACAGATTCTATTCCTTTTTGGGTTGAGTCCCATCCGGGATTCGAACCCACACTTTCTGAGAGATCAGGCACCTAATCGCCAGCAGTCAAAGTCAGCCGCCTAACCCGCTCAGCCATCGCAACTACCACAAAATGGAAGTCGGACAACTGGTAGTCTAGACTGTGGACTATGTGTACCCCTCTGATAAGCGTAAATTGGTACGGCTCCCACGCCCGAAAGCTAGTCTTGTACTTTTGGGGTTGAGGGTTGACTCTGAGGGTGTGGGTTCTAATCTTGGATTGGACTCAACCCAAAAAGTACTAGAATATGTACTTTACTAAGAAAGTGTAATCCCAAATAATACATATGTTAGATTTGACCACTTTCTAATTGGCATTGTGTCATCATAGCACACAACAACACAAGTGAAATTAAAAATACAAATCCTGTGACCTTGGATTCAGTGATTCCGAATATTATGGCCACAGGCCTATTTAGAGGTAAATAAAACGAATCAAGGTTTAGCGTCTCAGTAAACCGAGTAATAGCCCCTTCAGGCAGAGTGTGACTAACGCTGTATATTTAACATGGTCAGAGTCATTCATGGAGGTATAGATAGTGAAGCTAAGCTACTAATGCTAGTGCCTTATCCAATAAATGCGAATTTGTAAATGTTATGTGAAAATGCTTTTCAATCGTAAAAATGTATTATTAATAACAATGCTTGTAAGAATAACATAGTTTGATGGTATCGGTATTATTGTACAACATGGTTAAGTTTGATTGTAAAATTATAAGCTTATCGCCTCGTGGGCTCAGGTTCACGTTGTTATAATACGTAAACCATATTTCTGGTAAAACCTGTTGTGACATTGCTGGTATAGTCGAGCACCATTGTCTCGATATTCATAGGATCAAGAAAACATATCGAGTTATCCGAACTTCGAGACATCCGATCAGGGCATGTCATCACATATCACTATGAAAGAAAACAAAACAAAAAGTAGATTTCATGTATATTTACGCTACCGCATCCCTTTGATTCATGCCGCACCGTGTGCCAACGTGTGGAAACAACTTCAGTTCAGAGGGATACTTGCCCATGAATGGTAGATGAATATCGAGTTTCTTTGCAAATATTGAGTTAAAAGGGTAATTTTGCTTGTTGGGACCATGGAATTATATCCAGATATCCGAAATATCGAGGCATTCGTATCGAGTTAAAAGAGCTTGAATAATGATAAATTATGAAGGATTTTGCTGGCACGTTGATGCTATATTGAGATATCGAATTATCAGAGTTCGACACAACGGTGCTCGACTGTATATTGCTACTCAGCGTAAAATCACACTCATTCACAGCAATGCCTCATGATTTCTATTTAAAATATTTTTGCATCTGCATGTACAACAGGGCCAAGGGGCGTTGGGGTAGCCCAGTGGTTAAAGCGTTGGCTCGACACGCCGAAGACCCGGGTTCGAATCCCCACATGGGTACAATGTGTGAAGCCCATTTCTGGTGTCCCCCCGCCGTGATGTTGCTGGAATATTGCTAAAAGCGACGTAAAACCAAACTCAGTCAGTCAGTCAGGACAACAGGGCCAGCAATAACTGCTGTGTCTAATATTCGTAAAAAAGAACAGGGATAACGTTAGTACACTCGCAACATAAATTATATGACTTTTACCCCTGCGTGTTGTAGAAGTATTTCTGATGAGGTAATCCGTTGTGCGTTCGTGGGATTCTTCCACGTGTCTCAGAACGTGAAAGTGTGTTTTGTTAGCGGTGTTCGTATCTGCAGGCCACAAGCAGTACTTTTTTTCCATGAATTAGCATTGTGCCCATCTGTGAGAAGAAGAACTCAATATATCCTTGACATTGTACATAAAGGAAGACTGACTTGGTTTTTCCGTTTGTATCACAAAACGTGGTAATTATCAGTGAAATCGTTGAAAAAGAACTTGATAATAACATTGTCTCATTTTACATGTCTCATGTTTACAAACTGTTGGTCTTTTCCTACTTTCTGATTGTTACTTTAGACACTTCAAGCACTGAAAACATAGTAGGTATAAGGTACCTGTCTGCACAAACAGAAACGTTCAGGAAGCGTTACTATAAAACATAAAGACATTTTAAGGGGCATTATCAAAACTTACCCGTAGATCTGTGTGTGAGTGAGTGAGTGAGTGAGTTAATATTTAACGTCACATCGGCAATATCTCAGCCATATCGTGACGAAAACAATTTATACGATAAAAAGTGAAAACATTTTGAAGATTAAAATCTGTCGACGATGGACAGTAAAAATACTAGAGAATCACAGCTATGAATATAAAACTAGCGAGCAAAGCTAAAACATTCCAATTAAAGAAGACAATACAGTATATAAGACGAGCTATAGATCGCCAACAACTGAAGGTAGATCACCATACTAGGAACCAGATCTGTGTGTAATACTGGACTAAGAATACATAAAGTTTGGTGAATACTTACAATGTCGAACTGACCATCCTCATCTTGTCTACACACAAAAGCTCCAGAGTATTTTTTGTTTCGATATAACCCACAATGCTGAAAAGATGAATATGCAAGTAGGGAAAGGCATATGCATTTTGATGCGGAGAAATCTTTACATGGAACACTACTACACGTCACAGCATGTTGCATGTTACAATGAAAATGAGTGGTTTAATTTATCAGGTATTTTAATCCCACCTTAATTTTGTGCGTAGGTGCCTGAGTGAGTGAGTTTGGTTTTACGACGCTTTTTGCAATATTCCAGCAATATCACGTCGGGGGACACCAGGAATGGTCTTCACACATTCTACCCATGTGGGGAATCGAACGATTTAACCACTGGACTACCCCTCCGCCCCATAATGAAAATGAGGATGCACGGACAATTTTGAATCAAACTTGATTTATACCCCAACTGCATATTTTACCTCACTGTACACACGTTGGGGAATATATTAAACCTTGATTCTTAAGCAGAGCTACATATTAATAATAATAATATGGACATTTGTAGAGCGCAGTAGTAACTCCACACCTCAAGGGCATGCTCTTTGCGCAATAGTAAATATGTACACTATATACAGGAAGAAGTATTATAAGATTTAGTTGTGGTTGAACAAGAATGTTTTGAGGCTTGATTTAAAGATGGAGATGGAAGGAGATGACTTGACATGGAGAGGTATTGAGTATATTTCGGTATTGCTGTAACTTTAACTTTTTCTAAAAGCATGCATAATAATGTGGTACGGAATTTCATAAATCTGACAAGCTATATCACCTAGCTTATTATGAATCCTAATTTTATCCGTCGTTCTAATTCTAAGCATTATGCTCTGATTGTTGTGGTCTGGTATCCAGGGGCCAAGAAGAATAGCATTATGAAGTAATTCTGATGACGAGATCCCCAGGAAAAGTCGTTCAATAACCCTCAAATACCCAAATCCCTCCACAGATTTACCAACCTCAACTTGGATTTCATATTGTGATTTATGTATACACACTGAGCGTGTTAAAACACAACAAAACGAAACAACCTCTCCATAAGCTTATATACAAGAATATGGCTGTCCAGATGAAACCTTGACTCAACTGTCAAGGGTATACTTTTGATGATTTTAACTTTCCTATAGTCAACTTTCCCTTCATGTCGAGCAATATTCCAGTTGATCCATCTTTTGTGTTTACTTTTCACAAATGTTGACCATTGAGCATGCTCCATTTTACGAAAACACTACGTCAACATTTCATTATACAGAGCTTCACGTTGATCCAGCCACGACCTCCTATTATAATCGATACGTACAAACGACTGAGGGAAGAGCGAGGGCGGTGGCATGTATTGTCCGACATGGTTCTTTGTTGACAGTGTGTCAATACTCTGAATTTATTTTTTCAACCCCAAACTAATTGATATGAAAGGATGGGCCCAGGATAACGTTTTGTGGCTTTGACCTTTTTGCAACGTTAAGCTCAGAAGTCCAGATTTTCATAAGCCTGTATTGGCTTTCTGTCCGATGTCCGTCTTTTATAGGGGCATTCTTGAGGGAGTCTCTAAACCCTAACTCCACCCCATAAATCTGACTGATCAATATTGACACGTTTCATGTTGCATTATTAAGGACGGTGGGCTAGACTAGAGGTTGATGTGTTTCATCGTCTCACCAAAACCCCGGGTTCGATTCCCACATGGGAAAAATTTATGAAGCCTGTTTCTATCGTCCGTGACATTGGTGGAATATTCCTAAAAGCGGCATAAAACCATACTTGCTCAATCTTTCATTGTAATCGTTGAGCAACATGTGTCGTGTTTAATGCCCCTTGAAGATTATTCGAATTGCAGTTATACCCCACATCACTATTGTAATTTGTAACCTCACCTCGTTTACCGGCTCACTATAAGTCGATGTAAAGACGCCTTCAACGTTGTGGATGGTGTACACGGGCATGTTGACTGTGTTGACTGGACTAAGGGTCATCGTCAGATCCATAGACTCCTGCAGAGTATGGAGCATTAGGTGGAGTTCCTCTGGCATGTCTTTGGACAAGTTGTTTGGTCCCCTCGTAGTTAGCCATGAGAGTTCTGAAAAGGTGTGTCCCACGAAGGTACTCGTAGTATGTATTTTGAATTATTACTTGCATGCGGAAGATACTGCAGTGTAATACTTTTACGGCAATATTACACTAGTGTAATACCGCTAGACGTATGACGTCATAATGGTTTACAGTTATGACGACACAATGCTAATACCTTATCACAGCGTTATTAGACCTTGCCTGACTCGCGGAAAGCTGAGAGTCATCAAACTGTAGGCAGTTTCTATCAATTTATGTTGGAGAGTAAAAAACTCGCTTAAGAAAAATGGTATTACACGGAATGTCGACATAATGGATAACTAACTGAAAGGTACATTCGTCAGCAGATGCATACAGCCACGTGCATATGCTGGTACATATCCGTATTGACACATTCAAATATGTGTGCAGCTATAGCGTTAAAAAGCGGATACATTTACAGTTACAGTTACAGTTACAGATACATGGGAAGAGACAGATATGGGCGAGAAGCAAGTTTGAAGCCAGCTACTAATGGAATAAAGAAGCTGTGCTTCGTACAGTGTTCAATAAAAATATATTTGTTAATCGAACTTGATTATTGTATCTTTTAATTCATCTTCATAAAGACATTTTACTTCAATGTCGCGATTCACAATTTATGCGTTAAAGCATGCCGCACAGGTGCTATGTCTGTGTGTTTTCTAAAACACGAGAATGTTTTATTGTGAACATCACACAAAGTTTGCTTAGTTAATTGGGACTTATAAAAACATATTTCAAAAGAGAATGAATCTTACGTGATGACAAGTTTTCAACTTCTACAACATCGTAGGCCTGCTGCGAATATTAAAGGTACAATACGAATTCCCAAGGATGTCAACAGGACAGCCTTGTTTGGTTCGTGCCTCTGAGGAATTGGTACCAAACTGGCACATTAACAGCTCTGGCAGGTCCTCGTTGAGACCAGTTAGTGGCAGGACCGTTCACATCCGTTTGAGGGAGTAAAGCATCCCACACCCGACGTCATTGTCCTTCCTCTTCATTGGTGCAAGTCCTTGACAATATGTTGTTCACAGATGAATCAAGGTTTCATCGGGACAGCTCTGATTGTTGTGTTCTGGTATCCAGGGGCCAAGAAGAACAGCGACGATTGCGATGCTCGATGTCAGCAATTTCGGAGTGTAAGTGTAATGATTTGTGTGACATCGAAACATATATGAGCACACAACCGATTTGAATGGCGTACATGTACCCGAAGGCGACGTTATCTTTCAAATTCGGTTTGTACCCTTAATGCAAATGCAGCAACGGAACGGAACTTTGCTGCAGGATAATGGCAGCCCACTACTTTAACGTCTTGTAAGAGACTCTTGGAGGCAATATAACACTGGTGTACTGCTATATCCTTCTGTGTCTCAATACCTCTCACCCTTAGAACATATATTGGATGAGAGGGATAGACAGTTACGACGGGGCAAGAACCTGCCAGTGACACTTACCTTTGGTTGACATTTTGAACAACATACATCAAGCTGTTTTCAATCATATGGGGCTTTCTATACACGTTTGTGTCTCACATGTACCTATGCGATAAAATCCAATATCAACACTGTTAATTGTTAGATAGGAAATAATATTTCTTTACTCGGGTATGTCTCAATTCATTCAAAGTATTTTTCATCTTACGTGATTTTAATCGTAATATGATTGTCTGTTTTTAAAGTTTTCTTAACTCTCTAATAATTGTCAGTAGTGTGATGTTATCAATACAGTCGGTGTACCATGTAGATAGAAAAAGTTCTGCAAGGCCCCATGGTCCCCAGTGTGGTGTTCTAGCTTTGGAGTTGGCGATCTATAGCCCATATCCTTTACAGATATACAATGTTATGTTCATCGACATCAATAAAACGTGTGAATCCATCCACGTATGAAAAAAAAGTCATGTTACAAAAATACTACCTTTGATTGCTTGCACTCTGTCTCCAAAGAACGCTGCCCCTGTTCCCTCAAAACACAGGAAGATGAACACACCACGCCACATCACTACGTTCGAGAAAGGTCACATGTAGTACATTGACACCACATAATTGCAAATGTCTTTTTCTCATCTATTCCTTGCAGCTACTATAATGACACACCAACCGTGTAACGTCTAAGGCGGTTTGTGTTTTATTGACCAAGAATGAAGCTGGCAAAATGTGTCTCTCAGTTCAAAGGACCATGTATCGTCATGGCATAGTTCTCTCTTTTTAATATCATTGGACGAGCAACATACAATGTTAATCTCTTAAATCTGATCTAAACAAAAGTAGGCGCTAGCGATGGATTAGCGCCTCCTCAGGGGATTTCGCTTTGGGCGACTAGATATCCGTTATTGGTAAGCATACTGATGTTATAATGAAACTATCAAGAAACAAAGTCTTTGAACGGCATTTAAAAATACATAAAACGTGATACACATAAAAGGTGATCTCAAGAATGTATAGATGTCAACTTCATTTTTATGAGTGAGTGAGTGAGTGTGGTATTACTCTGCTTTGAGCAATATTACAGCAATATCACGGCGGCGGACACGATAAATGGGCTTAACAAATTGTACCCATGTAGGGAATCGAACATGGGCCTTCGACGTGACGAACGAACGTTTTAACTACTTGGCTAACCCACCGCCCTCATTACTATGAGAAACACGACGTTTTTACAAATATTCTTACTTCATCACCTGACTTGGCAAAACTTGAGGTGAATTAATAATTGAATATTTGAGTTTAATTGCAGGTCATGCTTCATTTTGAGTGGGCGGTGGGGTAGCCTAGTGGTTCAAGCGTCCGTTCGCCATGCCGAAGACCTGGTTTCGATTCCCACATGGGTACAATGTATGAAACCCATGTCTTGTGTCCGACGCCGTGATATTTCTGGAATATTGCTAAAAGCGGCGCAAAACTAAGCTCACCCACTCACCCATAATTCATAAAGAGTGTAATACAGTTGGAACATTTGCCACAAACATCTGAAACAGTGTGTACGTGCAGAATGCTTCCCAGCCTCTACGGCTTGATATCAGCCAGCAGCACAATATTTCTGCTGATGTTGATAGAACAGTCTGAATAACATTTTTGTCATAAGAATTTGTTTCAATGAACATTTCAATCTACAATTTATTGGTCTATTCATAATTGTGTTTTGAAATGTCGACTGTGTGTAACAAAATGCAAAGCTTTTGTATTTAAGCGTTTTAAACAACTTAAAATTCAGGATTCAGATTTTTCACGGCGAGGGACACCAATATATTATATCCACTCAGGTTGGTTTCTTGTTTGTTTTGATTTTGTGTTGTATTCTTTTCACAGCCCGTGATGAATAATTTGGCCAATGTATAGCACAGACTAAACATCCCGTCACCATGCGCATATCTTTCTGTATAAGTCTGCCAAGGCTCTGCAGTGACACCAAAGTCCATCTGACAATCGAGATGTCCACATAACGAAAGACATGAAGTAATGTTTAAAATCTACATCTGGGGTTTAACTCTTGAAATTATGTCACAAACCATGCGTGTCTTAGAAAAAAATTAATCTACTTCAATCTGATTCTACCTGTACGGTGTTTCTAACTAAACCTTGTGATCACAGAAACACACTTTATATTTCTGATTCATGATGTGGTAATTGTCATTGTATACTGGAGAACACCTTGATCGTGCCTTCTTGGAGGTAACATATGTAAAGGCGACCACGTTCATCTACACAAATTCCACGGGGATAGTTTATACCCTCCTTTGATGTCAGTATGTTTCTCACAAAATCTCCCGACTCAGTCAAATGTATTATCCTGTGCCCTAAGCAATCCGCAACCAGGATGTCACCAGAGTTCGTGCTTGTGATACCAAGAGGGTCTTGAATGATTTCATTTCCTGTATGGTGGAGTTTGAACAGGACATCTCCTTCAGGTGTCAAACACAATATACGCCTGGTTCCTTCGTCAGACACAAGGATGTTCCCTTTCCTCGACGTACAGAGGTAATAGGGTCTTTTGACCAGTGGTACCCTATCTACAATCGGCATAAACGACCTCAGAACGTTCCCCGCCGCATCAATAATATCCACACACGGAGGGACAGAGACCCGGCCGCTAGTGTTGACGATGTCAGAGCAGTCAAACCATAATAATGTTTGCTTGTGTTGATCGTTGAGAGATGCACAAGGTCTGGAGTGACGCCAACCGTTACAAGCTTTCGTTCATTGCTAATAGATACAATCACCTGATTGTTTGACAATTTCGCTATATTGCATGGCCGACTTCCAACATCAATGTTACTTTGACATGCTTTATTATTCCGAGTGTAGAAGGACTTCAGATTTCCATTCCCATCATCTATGACCACCAGTGTATGCGTATTGTTGACCACCATCACCATTACATCCAAGGGCGTGGACGAGGAGTTGTCAGATGGTAACCTAATGTTTATTGTATTATGTAAGACAGGCGTTCCCTTCACATCAAACACACCATCACCATGCATCTCATTACCCTTATACACAACCTCAATGTCTCCCAGTGGTAGATTGTCTAGAACATTGACAAGCTTGTCCATATCCTGTTCATAAATGATTTTGTCCACAGTCTCGTTGACTACAGCCTCTTCTTGACGTTCCTCCTCAAACCACTGACAAAATCGGTACATGTCCACCTGACATTCAGTCCCCAGACCCTTGTCTATCAGCTCGACCTCCTGGTGGTACATCTGGATTGACATTTCTCCCGCCTTGATGTCAGCTTTTAGCTGTCCAAGGTGAATTTCTGTAGCTTCTTTCAGTTTGTTTATGAGTGTGTTCTCCTTCTGTTTAATCTTTTCTCTGGCCATGTCACAGGACGACCGAATCAGTGACTCCAGTTCTGACGATGATTCACTGACCTCAGTGAGTCTTAGTTTCTGTTCTCTGACTCGGTCCTTCCTCATTTGTTCGTCTGTAAGCAACGACTTCCTTTTTGTCATCAGTTTTGTCTTCATCTCGGTAAGCTCTGATTCAATTGTGACAACAGATGAACATTTCCTGTGGTAGACTATGCAGCACTTCTGACAAATCAGCTTTTTGCAGTCTTTGCAAACAAACTCAATACATTCATTTTTGTGCTCTTCGCACATTACCTTTCGCTTTTGCAAGGTTTTTGTATCTCCTGTAAAAATGATAACTTCATGGTTCCGTGTTGCTGGAATTCGTTTGTGCATTGCTGCACATTCTTCACAGACTGCGTCATCACAAACGGAGCACCAGGAAACAGCTGGAGTTGCCTTCCCTATTTCTTTACAATACTGGCAGTTCGTCATGTCTGAAAACAAGGAAAAACACCATGTCTCACTACAACCGAGTCTGGACCAGACAGCTGACAGGTTCGCATTAGAAGAATCGATCTTCGTAATTGAGACACGAAAGTTAGCGTTACCTGATCACAAGTACTGAGAACTATTCTTGGTGGAATATGTTGGTGTGATAATATTTTATCTGCCTGAAGACCGCCAGTAAATAATGAATGGCAAATGAAAAAATGAAAATGCGTTCATTATGTCCGTTTTAGCCGACCGACCAAAACGTTTTGATACAAAACGTCGATTAGCCTTTAGGCATTTTTTGTACGATATATGAAAAACAAAGTCAGTATTAACGCCGTTCGCGACAAGCAGGCCAATGGTTTATTAAACATCAATAATAAAATAGAAATCTCTATTTAAAAAAATATACTAAAGTAGGGTCCATCGTACGATTCTGGATACACAATAACTCACTATATATTGAATGAAGATGATAACAGGTTTTACGGAAAGATGAGCAGATAATAATTAGAAAAGTGTGCAATTGCCAATGTAATATCCGGTTCCATTGCATTTTTTTTAATATTTTGTTCGACTTCTCTAATTCACTATCAAATACGTCATCTAGTCTCGTAGCACAGGACATTATTTCTCAGTGCCGATGATCTATGATGAGCCGATACATCCTCACCTTTAGATCCTGGACCAAAGGAGTCCAACAGTCCCTGGATGACAAAGCTTGGCTTGACGTCATCCGCCCATTCCTCCACTGGTTTGTCAGGCTCAGACACTTTCGTCATCTTGCTGCAGAATGGACACAGAAGAGACTTGGCACTGATGGCTTCGGGTTTAGTTTTGGTGTAGTTGACGACACATTTCCGACAGAATGTGTGATAACAGACAAGTGTGCATGGCTCCTGTAGGACCTCGGTGCAAATGGTGCATCGCAAGAACTCGTCAGTCAGTTTGACTGCAGCCGCCGCCATCTGCATTAGAATCAGAACTTTAAACAGTGACGTTATATGTTGATCCAAGTTGATCCAATGGCGGATTTCAGAGTTACTTTATCACATATACATGTATACAAGGACAGTTCCAGAATATGAACACACCCCATTCGTCTCCACTCCTAAACATTATGTATTTTTGTATTACCGCCGCACTCAAGCAACATACAGCGACATGACGGTTGTTTGTATATAATCGACTCTGGACCGGACAATCCAGTGATCAACAGCATGAACATCGATCTGCGCAGTGGAGAACCGATGACATGTGTCAACCAAGTCAGCGAGCCCGACCACCCGATCCCGTTAGTCGCCTCTTACGACAAGCATGGGTTACTGAAGGCCAATTTTAACCCGGACGGTTCTTTGTGAGAGTGAGTCAGTATTCTGATTTTCGTGTTTTCAAACTAATATGAAAGAACGGGCACATCGTAACTGTTTGTAGCTTTGATTTTTTGCAGCATTCTGCATTCTGCACATTGTGCAGTTTTATCCATAAACATCACACACATTTAAATAAATATACAGTATGAAAGCGAACGAAGTATCGAACGAAATACAGTTCAACATCACGGTGTTTGAATCGTAATCCGCAGTATTACATGAAGTGAAATGTGAGGGGTGTTTCATATACATCGCTTAAACCTTGTTGTATTTCCTGTTCATTAATGTTATATTAGCATACATTATCGGAATTACAGTACTTGCTCGCAAAGATGTTACTCATAACCCACAGGGATATATACGTGCAGCTCTGCACACAAACAACAGCATTGGCTCATGTTACAGCCCATTTTTAAATTATATAATTAATAATACTGTTACAATATTATCTACAGTATTGTAAAGAGTATTGTTAAAATGATAATATATTCACGTTAAGAAATGTACATGAAATCTTTCTTTGGAATGTAACTTTGTGTAACTATGCATTGTTGTATCCACTGTAAACACGGTCTAGATATATGGCTGGAACATTGCCGATGCCACGTCACATTTTAACTCTCTCACTCAGGCTTTGTGTACAGCTACACATTCATGTGCATAAACATAAAGCATCGCTATAGCACATTTGGCCACCGAGCCGTGTATAGCTGGTGTAAATAGGTTACAGATTACAACATCCGTGGCGACGCATGGCTATGAGCTCTTATCAAACCGAAACTAGGACAGAACGGACATTTCCGGGAAACAACAAACCTATCAATTAGATAATTAATGATAATTTTGAATGTTTAAACACATCATTCGAGTCTTGGAACACTTATTAACAATACTTCAAGCATTATATCTCAATACACATGAGAATTACATGAAAATGAGAACAACCGATCCGCGAACCATAACCGGACTTACCCTGACGCAATAACGACCGGTGTCGATGTAAATTGTGCCCCCTGAAATATATGCCTGCATGTAACAGGTTGTGTATAGGATTGATGCGTGTATATATATGCTACTTCAGTTTTCACTCCTCGACTTAAAACATGGGATTATATGCTTGATATATTGAGATAGGTATTAAATGTTTTATATGGCGTTTGTAATTTGTTGTAATTAAAGTGTTGAAATTTTTTTTCTTTGCTTCTGTACAAATTTAGTAGACTTTCATGACACTGAGGGGGCGATAGTTAGCCTCGTGGTTTAGCCGTTCGCTCGTCACACGGAAGATTTGGGTTCGATTTCCCACATGGGTGCAATTTGTGAAGCCCAATTCTGGTGTCCCTCGCCGTGGTATTGCTGGAATATTGTTTTAAAATGGCGTAAGACCATTCTCACTCTAATAGTCCTTAATTAAATGTCAGGAAGAAGTCACGATCTCATGTCAGTAGTGGTCTTGGATGCGATATTTACAAACAAATGGAGGTGTGTAAGATAACAATCTGATCTACATCACTGTATGTAATGAACTTGACTGATATTTTCCGTACAGTATTTTTATATTTTTTCTCGGGGGTACAGGTGAAAATTGGTCCTTCTTTAAAAAATAGTACTTCCGTGTGTTCTTGTTGGGTTTGAAACGTTTTCACTAAGCCTGACACTGATGCTCCCCTATCTATTCCGATGATCAATCAGTTGCGATGATGCAATCATTACTCTTGTTTTGACAACCAAATCCCTAAACTATACAGTAAAAAGAACATTTGAATGCGGAGTATTAACCGGTTTTGCTATAATTAGAAACCTATACGGAGTACATGTTATCTGATATAAATGTCTCAGATTATGTTACTGACTTTTAGGTTCACGAACATCTAATTATGATATATGTATACACAATAACATATGTTAATTACCTGGAACAGTAATTTCCAGCTCTCTACGTATTCGGATATATGAGACATAAAACGATTTCGGTTGTTCAAACAAAACTTCTTGTAATATCTAAATCGTAAACCAACATGCAAAAGACGAACAACACTCCTTTGTATCGAGAGCAAAACCTAATCCACTGACACGGTGGTCTAACGTGGGATTTTATGATGCTTCTATATCGTTATTGCAGAATTGCCTCCCCTAGACCATTGAGGGTCTTTGTGTAACGCATAACCTGGTTCTGTTTTCACCGTCTTGCGAGTTTTATAGCTTGTCAAGTGTAAAACTAATCGGTTCAATTTACCGCTGTACAATCCACATATTAACATGGACAAACAGTCTTGACAAATTACAGGTACAACGACTATACATCAAGAGCTTGTTAATCCGTCATTCCTGAAGATGATCTTAAGTTTGTCAGCATTAAACTGGTGTTTCTGGGTTTCAAACATATATACAGGGCTGTTTAGTTGCGTTAACTGTATCTGCAAATATATAAGTCCTTCACTGAGACCACAACCCTTTATTCGTGATACGAAATGAAAACTACATGGTATTAAAGCACTGGCGAGGCGGTAACCTAACTAGCCACTGTCCAAGATGCAAGTCCCGACTAACACAAAGAATTCTCAATTTAACCGTTAGGATCGAATCCTGCCAGCCTCATCCACAACGTCATACTTCAGTGGCCAAGTGGTCATTGTCGAACAGTGATTATATATATAGTTCGTTATATGTCAGTTCGTCAAAAGCGTGTTCGACATAAACGTAGTTTACTGTAGGTCGTACATACATTGTGTTATTTCTATGAAAGGTAACAGGGAGTTGATTCAGGGCATACTCGCTGGTTAAAAATGCAAATTTCTACAAGACGTGTACAAAAGCTGTAAATTAATCTTCGTTAAGAACTGCATGACGACAAACATTTAAAGCAGTGTACGAATGCCCCTGTGTGTTTGCAAACGTGCTGGGAATATATAAGAGAACGCATTTGTCACCTTAATTCTGACAATGGCACAGTTCTCACAGAGTAGCATTTCGTTCATACTGATATTCCGGCCTTCTTACTAACGATTCCTTTACGGACTTATCTCCCTTGTTTGATTCAGGATGTGTTCATTATCGATTGTACGTGTACGTCTGTAGATAGTAAGTCAATGGTCAGTTACGTTTCATACAATACGGGACATACTGAAGGTCTCAATTCAAATCAGTTCCATTTCACAATTGGCAATTTGACAATGAAGGTCAGATGAATCAAATTTAAGAAAACGGTGCGTGTCGCTGTTAGATATATTGCAACATAATCGAACTGTCTTGGTCCCTTAGTTCGCAAACGAAAAATATTATGAATAAAAGTCAGAGCTAATGTCCATACCAGAACATGAGCTGGTAGATTTTCCTTGAGGTGTATGAAATCCAAAAATCCAGATATCCGGATATTCAATTATCCGGACGATTTACGTAAAAATGAATGTGTCCGGATATCCGAGGTCTCACTGTACATTCTGACTGAGTACCGTTTACACCACTTCTGGACATCAGTAAGTTGCCAGATGCACTTGCACGTATATAGACCATAAATAGGACTGGTATGTACTAAGTTATCGTTTAACTTATCTTATTTAAAAAATTAAATTCATCTCTCAAGCGTATAGACATTTAACAACTATAAAGCATCACCTCATATTTTTAGTATGAATGTAGATTGGTTTTCATGAACAACATCAATGGAGATGTTTTTTTCTTTTTAAGTATTTTTTTCTCATCTGCATGTTGTACATCACAGTCCAAAACAAATGAAATTATTGCATGTGACAATATGAAATTCTTGCAAGGATGTTATACAACAGTTTACAATGTAGAAATCCTGCAAAGTTACAATAATCATTCTTCGTTTTAATTGCATAGCCGATATACGTTAGGGCACGCTGTATATTTTCTTTCTTTTTAAATGTCGAGTTGTATAATTACATATATGATTGTTATGAAGATACACCAGGGATCCATGATATTTGAGAAGAGTGTTTGAAAGGAGGAGCAAAACGAGTAAAAATGCCTTGAAAAAGTTACATAATTTGTGGCTTAATAGTAATTTAGTATTTCCCGCAGAAAATATTCACAATTCGGCGAGTGAGGCAAACTTTAGTAAACGTGTGACGCATGAACATATCAGATACTACATTCATGTCATATTTACACAAACACAACTCATGCACATCGACTTCAGTTAAGGTCAATGCAATATGTACGCTCTGCGTCTCTTATTCAAGTTTATATTTTTTCAATGACAAAATATGATCAACATTTATATCATCACCGCTTACTTGCACATATGTGCCTCAAGATTGAAATTAATGCAACATCTCGCTGATCGCCAGTAAACGCCACCAAATCAGTTTATCTGTCAGCAGTAGAGGACATGTGGAAGTATCTCATGAATTTTGCAAGGAATTGATTGATTGAAAACCTCAGAAGTACATTGTATACATGTGTCGTATTTGGACAGAATGATGGAGTGGTGGTGGAATTGGGTTTAACGTCGTGCTTGAGAATATTTCGCTCATATGACGACGTGCATGCGTGTGTATGTGTATGTGCGGCTGCTTGTACTAGCTGAAGCTGGTTTTATAGTGCTAGCCCACTGAGATACCAATCCGCAGTGAAGCATGAATACCCCACTCAGACACATTATACTGACTCCGAGCCGACCAGTCCTTGTTGTACCCATTAATGCCGAGCGCGGGGCAGGGACCACACAGAATGATGGAGCCCACGCTGATTACATATACTTGCCTGGATATCCATCTCAAAATTCACTTCTAGTGAAGGAAGAAATTCTCAGCTAACACATTTGAGAAATATTGGATGGCGAGCATATTACTCTCAACTAATACATTCGAGAAATATTCGGTGGTGAGTATAACGGCAAATATTTGAAAAATTGCAATATAATATGATTTTATTTTTCTAGAAGCCTTGACATTCAGTAGTTTAAAATGAATTGCTACTCGTATGCTATCTTACAGATTAATACAAAATTGGACAAGATAGTTAAACATTAAGCAGTAAAATGATAAGAGGTACATCTAAGAAGCTGCGTCTTTCAGTAACGTGAATTAAAAATAATTGACACTGATACCTTTCCACCAGGTGTTACCACAATATTGAAGCCATGGAGACTATCACGAATGTCTTTCACTAACAGTGAATTCCAAGAATTCCTTTAAAGATAACATAGTTTCTATACCGGCAACTTAACGAGTCCTTCTGTTACCGTTGTGTAACCCGTAAAGAACTGGGTTAGAAGTGGTTCAGTAACCCATGCTTGTCGGAAGGGGCGACTAACGGGATCGGGTTGTCAGGCTCGCTGACTTGGTTGACACATTGTCATCGCATCTCAATTGCGTAGATCGATGCTCATCACTGGATTGTCTGGTCCATACTTGATTATTTACAGACCACCGCCATATAGCTGCAATATTGCTGAGTGCGGCGTTACACGACAAACCAACAAACCAGCCAACCGTTGTGTAATGCCCGATAGAATGTATCTCATAGACAATTACCACTAACAACATACAGGAGAAAGTGAGTATGGTTTTACTCCGCCTTTAACAATATTCCGGCAATTTCACGGCTGGGAACACCAGAAATGGGCTTCACACATTGCACTCATGTGAGTAATCGATCCCGGGTCTTCAGCGTGACGAGTAAACGCTTTACCCACCATATCGCCTAACTATCTAACTATATTTAAAGTAAACTAAACTATCTCACTCCTGTAAGTCCCCATAGTCCCTAGTATGGTGATCAACCTTCAGTTGTTGGTGATCTACAGTCCGTTTCTTTGTATTGTATTAATGTTTATATAAATGTAACTTTCATAATCAAATGCAAATTTTAATTTCTATTGCTGTGATAATGTAGTTGTTTTGTTGTCCTTGTTGACATATTTTACAATATAACTTGATTTATTATCAATGTATGACGTGCTTTAGTCACTAAATGGGTGAAATATTACCGATGTGAATATAACTCTTAACTCACGCACTTATTATTGAACTGTGGGCTTCACTATCGGTGTGTTTCATGTTTAGTGTTTTACAGGCATGGGCTGGTGCTGACAGAGATGAAAGAAACGGCATGGTAATGAAATCATTCTCACAGCACGTGTTCACAACCAAGCGTTTCAGGACTGACCAGATGCCGATGATATTTTAACTTGCATCTGATTGGAAAGGAAACCGGAACATGTCTGACCTATATATCAAAATTTTAATCACATGAAAACAGATTTTCAATTTAGAATGTGACAGATAGATGTTATGTTTAAGGATACAGAAGTCCATGTCATTTAAAGCAAGATTAATGGCGTTCTTGTTCTACATGATGAACGTCTCACATGTTGTTACGTGTTATATTGTTGATCGTTTTAATTTCAGAAACAGTATGTTGTAACAGTATGCTGTAAGAAAATACTGAAACTTTTATAAACAGCACTCGTCCATGAAAGTATGAAAGTCTGAGGCCTGCTGACTGTAAGTATATTTATAGTGAGTGTGTGATTGATTATGGTTTTTACGCCGCTTTTAGCAATATTCCAGCAATATCATAACGGGGGACACCAGAAATGGGCTTCACACATTGTACCCATGTGGAGAATCGAACACATGAGGGGACACTTTAACCGTTCCGTATATTTCTGGAGAAATAGGGGTGAGAATAGTAATGTCATTCTATTATGACGTCATGGCATCGTGTGAAGTAGCATGATTGATGCTATTCCACCTAAGAGATATCTAATTAATGCATTTATTGGACAAACCGTAAAATATAAAGCTGTTGCCTGCACGTGGTTTTTTTATCCAGTTTTCGACAGTACAAATTCAAGTGTTTTAAAATTGACACTTTTATCTGATCATTGTGTTAATGATGGTGGCACGTGGTCCTATGCATAGCGCTCAGGTCACAAATTAAGTTGAAGTTAAGCAACGTTGGGCTCGGATAGCCCTTGGATGGGTGACCGTGTTGGCAGCTTAACTCCTGAGAGTTTCTAGGACTTGAGTCCTGCCCCACAACGAAGCACATGTGATACATGTGGTCTCACCTTACGCAAGTGAGTTTGTTCACAATTGCATCTGTTCACCCAGCAGGAAATGGGTACCCGGTGAAAAAAGTCGTGAGACTATTAACCTTCTAGCGCCTAACAGGCAGCTTGGGTTATCCGGGGTAATAATGATCAGATTGTGCGCTTTGAGCAGGATATCTAGCCTGAAAAAAGGCGCGTTATAAATATTCTCACTTTATCATAATTAATGCCGTTGGCAGAATAGGATACATTGCACTTTAAAGTGAGTTTCATGCGCAGCATTAAACAACCTGCATTCGTCCGACTTCAGTTAGTCTGTGACTGTGTTCAACATAACACCGGATTTTTTTAGTTATTTATCTAAATTAACTTCCACCGTAATATTTTAAGATATGTGTGAGTATATGTTGTTTTCAGTCAATTACATATGCGAATATTTTAACAAAACATCGACAAAAACATGTTCTAATGTCTTAGTTATAAGTTATTTAATTTAGTCTTAGATTATAATATGATGTTTACCAGTTATAATTGGGTAGATAGTAACGCATACAGTTACAATAATTTTGTTGCTGTCAAATTGAAATATTAATAACGATAGCGATTTTCATTTCTTTTCTGTGCATTTGCATTTTAATATATCTTAGGTTTTTTTCGAAGATCGGAATACACGTACTCGCGTCATTAAGAGAATACGTTCAAATGAATTTCTGATACAAAAGAGTGTTACGTGTTGATTGCCAGGTTGAAACTAGACATGTAATTCGGAATCAGTCCGTAAAAGAAATTAATATGATCAAACAAATAACAAATAAATGTTCTGTAAATAACAAATAAATGTGCTGTAAATAACAATTGGAGTCTAAACTACACAAATCAATACAAAGGTATCACTATGACCGTACACAATTTGTGTTGCAGTGCAGTTCAGCAGAGGTAATATAACACATTAGGAGTGATTATAGCAGAAAGACACTGATGGTAATTTTCACGTCTCAACAACATCAATCGAACTTCCAACTAGGCCTAGGCAGTGTATATATGATCATCACACATCATCCTGGTATTCTGGTATCTTGAGATGTTATCTGAAATGAGAGGCAATAGCCAGCCTACCGTATATAATACCTCACAAAATTGCTGCACAAATGTCCTCTCAGCCTTATAGAGATACTTCTGGCAAAGTCTAAATACTGCACACGACTGTCCCCGACTCAATCTACAAGTACAATATGTAACAGTAGAACCACAAGGTATACCACTGCCTCATAACAAGAGGAATAGAACTTCACCAACTCACAAAAAATGGTTAGTGTCACGTGATCTCGATCAAATCTTAAGGTGCACAAATACATTTTACCATGATCTTTGGTGTCACATTCATGCGTTTCATCAATTGTGATAAATTAGAAATGTTTCTATAATTTGTCGAGAAAAAGCAAAATGTCAAAGTCATGCGACATAACTCGAGCACATTTTGCCTTCGGCAAGAAACTTCTCATGTGAATTTCTGATATATCTCAACAAGTATCTTCTTTCCTTATGAAGTTCGTAAATAATGTGTCTTCATTCCGGTTGAGGACCAGGAGCATGACGCGTTGACACGTGGTGTTGGAGATCATATCCACCATAACACATGATTGCAACTTGTTGGTCTGTAACTATTTCAGTCACTACTGTGTAGCCGCTTTCGAGCTCTAAACTTTCGCGAATAAGGTTTGAAATAGCCACATGTTCGTCTTATAAACCATTCTTCGTCCGTAAATCATTTTTCACACATAGAAGCTCCAGTATTCCTTACTAAGTGACAATACGAAGTTGCTTCTTATTTTACAATATAAGGGTTGGTCGCTTTTTACAAACATTACACCAAATGTTGATTTGCTGGTGCATCCTATTACCGATTATTTCATTTCTTTCTGATTCAGTTAGATGTGTTTACAATATATGTGATACACATACCGGGACGTTATATATGTTCTGTAACGTTTCATTAGGTTGTTTGCTGGCTGGTTAACGCAACACTCAGCGGTATGAAAATAATCGTGTCTGGACCAGACCACCCAGTGATTGATATGATGAGCATCGATCTGCGCAATTAGGGTACGATGACATGCATCAGCCACGTCAGAGAGCCTGATCGCCCAATCCCGTTAGACGCCTCTTACGACAAGCATAGGTTCCTGAATTCTAAGCTAGATCTTTACGAGTCCGTGAAAGAAGTTGTCCACATAACATATTTGGGGAAAGTAGTTTTTTTAACAAATGCAATAACAATAACAGATACAATAACATATACAAATTTTGGAACGTCACATAGGGAAATGTGGTTGTCTCATGTGCTTGGAATATAATTAATAAATCTGAACAAATGTACATAAACAATACATTTTCAAATTATGGTTAAGAAATATTTTCTGAAAGTGTACCATTGTGCACCACATTTGGATAGCATGGGTAAAGTTTGAACAGCGACACTGAATGCCTTTTTCTGTTATTTACCTTATGTGACATATTGGATTTCCCCCCACTGTTTTATTGAGCAAAGTGCCATTGCCTCATCACAATACCTCCAAATGACATATTGAATAACTGTTAGTCCATCAGAATATATTATGCTCTTCTTCGACCATTCCAGTCAGTTAATATTTGCTGCGATGTACAACATGTGATTAGTGTCAACATCGCCTACGTTCAGACATGTGTCATCTCGATGGAAAGCAGTTACTTATCGATTACCAGTAAACACGAAATCAATCAGCTTATCTCTCAGTATTGGGCGATCTCATGAATACTGTAAGAGATGATTGGTACAAATTAGACGTACAAGAGGAGCCAGCGATGGGACAGGCTTTAGGCAATTGCGGACCTTATTGCCTCATCTTGATATTCACTGCTTTGTTGTTATTTACATTTTAGCATCATGAACATAGTTGATCTCAAATCATACATTCATGACATACTACGGGTCATCATAAAACGTTGCAAATGTATGACATTTGGTAACTAAATTAAATCAAGATCTTTTCAAAAGCACCAGGGCAATTTGTGGCCTCATTTATGTCTGTATATTTATAAACTAATACTGATACCTTTTCCACATTATTATAGCACATAGCCAGTATAATACCTGCATTTTCCAAAAAGGTTTAGTCCATGGCTATATGTTACGGCAGCGTGAACCATGACTACTTTGTCATATCCTATTCCTGTTGGTTTTTATTATTAGGAGGACTGTGAACATCTCAGAGGAAGTTGACAGTTCAATTTATATCAAGACGTGTCTGTTTCATGTTGGGGGAAAGACGAAAGTGATACAGAGCTGTTCTCAACCTGGCGACACCACACAAGGACGGATGACGTCATAAAACAGCTACTTTAGGTAGATCAAAGTATGTCGTAGTGGCGAGGCGTTCAGCGCTATTTAAGTGGCTACATAATTATTATATGTTTTACAGATTAAAGATGAAAATGCAGCAGAGAGGGTTCGGGTGATCCTGGCACAGTCAGGCTGGTACGGCTCATCATCAGCTCAGGGCCCTCGCCCCCTCTACACGCAGCCCAGACAGCGAATGGGACTTCTCCCAGGAAACGCTGCCTAGTCGAACCCACCAAGACCTTTCCGGAGAATATGGAGTCTCCCAAACACTGCAGCCTTCTGCATTACCCAGAGTGTCAGAAGGGCTGTGCTCCCGGTGGAGAACCCAGCACTGTCCTGATCTGCGCCAAGTGATCAGGAGGTACCAAACCAAGGGCACCGAGAGCAATGGGGAGCCTGGCGACAGTGTACTTGTGAGGCAAGCGAGACGTTTCAAAGGCGAGGTCCGCATATTTATCATGCTTTTCCTCAATCTTGCCAATCACGTTGCTGTCAAAAGGGATATATATAATATATGAAAATAAATAAATTTATTGGCTTTATCAAAAAGGACAAGATCAGGTTTGTTGGCAGGAATTCTTCTGGGGCTGTTTATGGGCTTATTCCAAAGAAGTTTGAAAGCATCATTTTCCATGACGCCCTGGACATGTTCAGGGTCGTACCATGGATGGACCTCGGAGTCAAAGACAAATGGCGGAGACGATAGTAAAAGCAACGAGCCAAGCCATCATGTCGTTTAAGTTATGCTGTTTGTGCCAAAGAAGGGCATCCATGACAAGATGTTGGACAGTCTCCGTAAATTCATTATTATTATTATGTTTTACAGATTAAAGATAATATGCAGCAGAGAGAATTCGGGTGATCCTGGCACAGTCAGGTTCGTGAGGCTCATCATCAGCTCAGGGCCCTTGCCCCCTCTACACGCAGCCCAGACAGTGAATGGGAATTCTCCCAGGAAACGCTGCCTAGTCGAACCCACCAAGAACTTTCCGGAGAATATGAAGGCTCTCCAACACTGCAGCCTTCTGCATTACCCAGAGTGTCAGAAGGGCTGTGCTCCCGGTGGAGAACCCGGGCACTCTCGTGATCTGCGCCAAGAGATCACGAGGTACCATTATTATTATTATTATTACAGTGGCGAATGGGTCCAATATATTGCTCATAATGATAACATGCACTGTATAACTTGATAAATGACATGTTTCTAAAAAAACGTTTCTGATTTTCATTTGGTCCCAATCTGCAAACACATGTCTGATATTCTACATGATCAGATTACATGAACGCAGACAAGCAGTGAACCAAGCCTTTGAATTCAAATCAGGAATATTGACTCTAAGGATCCCAGAAGTAGTACTTGTCAATGCCAACTGTCTTGCATTCATCTGCGATTCAAGGCAACCGATCTTCAAAGTTAGAGAGCTCTGTGTTATGGTGCAGTTTGAATGCACGCGGGACTGGATTCATGTTTTCATCAAAGCTGCAACGAGCAGCACCATAGCAAGGGTTTGTATTGTTAGTGTCTAGCCGCGAGATACACGATTATTGCATTACAAGCCAGGGGTAGGACTGACAGAGACGGATGCAACGACATGCTAATGAAATTATTTTCACAGCAAATTTAGAAACCAATTATTTCAGAAATGACCAGATGCTGATGATATTGATTACAGGATTCTGTGTTATACTTGATATAAAGGGGAATGCTCAAAATGTCTGTCTATCACCCATTGTATCTAAAGTTTGATTTGCCATGGAAATGAAATTTAGTATATTTATAAAATATTCTGTAATAGGAATGTAGTTTATATCCTGCATTAGGTGTTTTTTTTTATCAAACTTCACCTTCGACTTTTCAATGATCGTAACCATTAAATTCACAAACATAAATTTTTAACACGTTATAATTCATGTATCCAGTTTGACCGTAAATGTGAAACAAACTGATATAACATACATACTGTTCAAAGTAGCGTAAAAACAAACCCATTCACACGCTGACAGAAATGTTTTCATCAAAGTAAGACTAGAAGGTGCATCAAACATTTAGCTATAATTACAAAATGAAACAGAAAAGATGGGATGACTGGTGTTGTGCTACAACCACAAGCTCCATCCTCATCGGACCTCTGAAGTTCTCTGAAATGCTCCAGTATCACTGCAACAGACGTTTCGTGAACATCAATACAATGACGACGTGTCATGTGAAAGCTTAAGAACGTCGTGGTGAGCAGAGCTGATCAGTTTCACGGACAGTAGCCTGTATTCAGTTAATTGGGACACACTTTTTCCCTTTCCCCGTGATATATATAATTGTGATAGACTGAATGGCTAAGGGTAACAAATGTAGTAATGGTTTGATTCTTGGATGAATTGGAGAATTGTCCTCTGTTTTTATTTGGCCCAGTGATCACAAGACAGTCTATAGAAATGTATATTGACTCCATCCCAAGACCAATAATTTACGAAATTGACTTAAAAACATGAAAAACCCACGTCCAGGGTATCTCCGTTTGTGGTGAGCTCCAGCGCGGGACGATCACAACGATGTCAACGTGCCGTACGAGTTCGACACAGAAAATTACTGATCTGCTCAACCATTTGTCGAAGAACGTAACGTTATATTGGACAAATACCAAAATTACCAACAGACCAAGTGAGCGGTGAATGTGCTTAGGGTGTATTTAGTTCAGAATGAAACTCAGCCAAATTTTTAAATGTTTGAAAGAATTGGAAAGAATGCTGCCAGGTTTATGTTATTAAGCGAGAACCGAGAAAGGTGATCACAAGAGAGTCATTCTTATGGCCTTATGTCGACACGGTAATCAACAACAACTTGAACAATCAAGACGTAATTTCATCTGTTCATCATTTTTATTTGACGGTATAACAAGTCAGCAAGATGACGGTGACATTACTTTATCAGGTTCAAATCATTTATCTCAAGTTGTCAAACATCGCCTAATTCTTATTTAAACTTATAGTTATTACAATAAAGATACAAACTTTGTCGGTTGATTGAACGTCGACGAGCATGAATGTCTTCGCCAAGTTGTTTTATCAAGGGAAGTTACTCTCAGTTACAATCTTAGTAAGGTAGTGTCGCATGAATAACACAGCTTTACACGCGTGGAGTTCGAATCTAACTATATGTGCTTTTTAAATTGTACCTATATCAATTTCTATTCCTGCTTAGTATTCACTGACGCTTAAACGTCAGGGGTAGTACTGTCTGAAGGCAATGTTCGAATCCCCGTCAACAGAACCAAGACATTTGTCCCTTTCTCACTTGTCCCTTTTGTGACCCCTTCTTGCCTTTACCCCGAGCTCTTGAAATATTCACATCACGTTCGAAAACAATATGATAAAGGCACTATATCACACCACACTTCTTTAAACATATATAAATAAATAATGCATTTCGCTCAATAATATTACTATCAGCCGGCAGGGAAGCTACCATATAATTTATGTTATATTTTTTTATACCTCAATCTCAAACAATACTTTCTTGGGCAGTACAGGCTATACAACAACGATTCATGTTTTCCTCAAACTTCCTGTGTATATTTAAAAAAATAGGTTCAAATACTCCTTAGATACTTAAATGTCATTTCCAATATTACGTCGTTTCCTTTGCCTTACAGTATATATAATATAGGCCAAAATATTGTCGAAACTGTGGCCTTGTGACTTTAATAACGAGATGAGATATCAGGAATATGTCATTAGTTGTTGCTTGAAATGATATAGTCATCAAATAAAAAGTAAACCTTTTAGGTTTGCAGTAATTTGTAAGTTGGTGTTCGTTGAATTGTCATAAAAGAAAGTATCTGATAATATTTTCCGAGCGGAAAATATAAATATCTCACATTATGTTTTCCAGTAAAATGTGATTGGTCATGTAGAGGATAGAATGCCGACATAGCCCTAATGTCCATAACATATAAGCTGTGGCATTAGTTTCATTGTCATTTTAGAAACAACCGTGCGTTAAAATATTCGTCTGTATCAAGATGGAACAGCTTAAAATGCACTTTATTTCTCATCAGCAAAATGTGTTGTGTCAGACTTGTATATGTAATATTGAACCATTATATTTCACAAACCGAATCCATGAGATATGCAATATTGGAGAAAACTAGAACAATTTACCGCGCATGAGCCTTCGGCTGA